CAACTCAACCAATAAGTTAAGCATTGTGGTGTATGTCTGTTATACTGGCTATGCAGGAAGTATATATAGAGTGATTATGGACCAGTTTGGATCCTGATGCTAGACTGATCTGAAAAATAACTAAACCACCAAGGGCTGAGTAAATGGCTCAAGTAATGGAACAAGTGTTTAGTATGGGAATGATAATCAGTTTAAACACCAGGACAACAAAATAATGTACAAAGGAAAAGTAAAAATGTTTGCCAGGGGCCTGTAATCTCAGCTATTTAGAAGACTGAGAGCTGAAGATCTTGTCCAAGGACAGCCTGGGAAGGAAAATCTGTGAGACTCTTATCACCAATTAACCACTTAAAAATCAGAAGTGGAGCTAAGGCTCAAAGTGGTAGAGCACTAGACTTGAGCAAAAAAGCTCAGGGACAGTGCCCAGGCCCTGAATTCACACACATGTAAGTGCTCATGTCTTCAGAACTAAGGTTTGTGATAATTGGGACTAAGAATACACCATCTTAATAAACACCCAGAATATTTTTAGATTTTCTTTTAATAAAAGTCCCTTATGTGACAATTAGTAGCCATGCATCAGTGTGGCTGGCACTGTGAGCTCCTCCAAGTGCTAAATGCACATCCCAACCAGCACATGATCAAAGTCCCATCTATGAACCAGGTGAGGTGAATGCAACCACTTCTCCCCAAACACAAGGCTGCAAGAGCCCCTATTCATCCATCTGGTCAACTAGGTAAGAACCATGTTTCATGTATTAGGGAAAGACACCACATTCAATGCCCAGGCTACAGCAATAAATAAGACAACAGCTCCAGGCCTGCCTTCCCCAGCTTACAGTTTTTGAATGGACACAGATGTTTACAAAGCAAGCACAATCTGCTGTTTGAATACCATCTCTCACAGATGCTGTGAATATCTTTTTTTATTGAGAGAATACCTTACAGAGGAGTTACAATTACATGGGCAAGTACATTTCTTATCAAGCATTGTTGCCTCCTCTTTGATTCCCCTGCCCATCCCTTCCCATCCTCCCCCCTACCCCCTGACCTCATCTATTGAGCTGGGGAAGGCTTTGCAGAAGAGATTGAAATATAAGCAGAGAGAAGATTGAAGACAGAACACGTGGTGGGAACAAGTGTGAATTTAATCTGTCCAAGAAACGGAAAGAGAAGCAGAAGACAATGCAGAGAGGCATGGGTCATCTGGCCATATATTATCATAGAGATTCATCAGGGCAGAATCTGAATCCAGAGAAAATCCACTAAACACTCAATATTCCAAGTGAGAAAAACAGAATGGAGCATTTAATTTTAAAGGAAGATAGGTGGCAGTCCAGAGCACACACTTCACACTGATGTTTTTCATAGCTGTGTAGGAAAAAGGAGAAAAAAAAAAGACTGTCCACCAGTGACTTGGATATTCCACTTGGTCTCCAACATCGAGAACACAGATGGAGCATAAAGATGTTTGGGTGGACACATGAGGTTTGTTTGAACATGCTTTGATAGTAATCCTCAAATGGAGATGCCCAAAGACAGTCAGGTCCAGAGAAGCAACCTGAGCCAGTGCCAGATATGTAAGCAGTAGCTTCATGAGGATGAAGAAGCTTGTGTTGGATAGAGAGGGCTGTGGGCAGCCTGGAGGGTCAGGAAGCAAAGTATTCAGAGCCAGCTGGGCCTTTGGAAGTCAGTGTGGAGGCCAGGGTAAAGAATGCCACCAGGAAAGCAGAAACTGATATCTTAAAGACCAAAGAGAGCTTTGCACCTAAAGAGGGAGCTGGTACTGCTTTGAGAGTGCAGACACTTCCACTTGAAATTGATGGCAGGCTGGACCACCACAAAAGGAAAACTGGCCTTTGGAGGGCCATGGATGGCAGAATAACACATGCCTGAATGGACTAAGACACAAGGGAGGGGGAGTCAGAGCATAAACACCAGAGCAGCTCTCCATACTCCTTCAAGGGAAAAGCTGTCCTCTACAAGGGAGGGGAGCTAAGGAGGCATTTACTAAAAGCATTTTGATGAACAGAAAGTTTTACTCATCTTCTGCTGCTGTGATTTTCCTAAGAAAGAACCAAAAGGATATTTTACAACCTAATGGGAAAGATTCAAGAGATTGGGGAAAAGTTGGACATACATAGATGTCCTTTAGGTTTGTGGGCAAAGCTAGATAGACAGACAGACAGACAGACAGACAGGTAGATAGATAGATAGATAGATAGATAGATAGATAGATAGATAGATAGATAGATAGATAGATAGATAGATAGATAGATAGATAGATAGATAGATACCATGATTGTAACTATGGGACTATTTAGGGAGATGAATGAGGGGAGAGAAAGAAGAATGGAGGATGAATAATATTGAAATATATCACAATTTTGTCTGGTGATGGTATAAGAAATCTCAATAATGTCTGTTGATCAAGAAGACAGGAAGGAAGGAAGCAAGGGAAAAGATTGGTCTGGGAAGGTGCCTCAGTGGTAAAGCGCTTGCCTTGCATGCATGAGGCCCTGGATTCGATTCCTCAGCACCACATAAGCAGAAAAAAAAAGCCAGAAGTGATGCTATGGCTCAAGTAGTAGAGCGCTAGCCTTGAGCTGAAGAGCTGAGGGACAGCACCCAGGCCCAGAGTTCAGGCCCCACAACTGGACACCCCCCCAAAAAAAAGATTGTTTTGACTAAGATATAACACATGCATGCCTGACACATCATGTGAAACCCCTTGGTTCCATTAACACACACTGAAAAAGTAAAATGAAATAAATGACAGATACATAAAATGACCTTTGTTATAGGGAAGAGCAGTCAGCTGGAGGGGGGCGGCAAATGGGACAAATGAATGAGGAGGAAGACAGCTGGAGTATTTCATTTGCCTCTATGAAGATACAAAACCACTGAAATTGTTTTAGAAGGAGAGTAGTGGGAGAGACTGATAGAGGGGTAGGGATGATAGGGAAGCTGTACACCTGTGGCAATGTCCATGGAACCTCTATTTGTGTAACTAATGTATGCTGAGAGAGGGGGGGGAGAGGGGGAGCTAAGTCTTTGGGCCTCATCCCAGATCTGCTGAGTCAGACAATAGGGGGTTATAGCTCAGTAATCCTTACTTTATGGGACTGTCTAAGCAATCAACCTAATCTGAGATCACTCCTTTCTCTAGAAATCTTCCAATTTATCTAATAATCTATGTCTATTTCAAATATTACTTCATTAATCCTTCCCACCCCCACCTAATTAATTAATTAATTAATTTGTGGTACTGAAGTTTGAACTCAGTGCCTTACACTTGCTAGGCAAATGCTTTACCATTTGAGTCACATCCCTAGCCTTTTCATTCTTTCGTTATTTCACCAGAGTGAGTCTTACATTTTTGCCAGGATTTTGTGTTTCTCCTATTTACATTTTCCCATAGCTGAGATCACAGGCTCACACTAACATAGTGGCCTTATTTTTGAGATTAAGGATCTCAATAACTTTTTTACCCAACTGGCCTCAAACCACAAACTTTTCCATTTCTGCCTCCCAGATTACAGATATATGTCACCATGCTTGACAAAAAAAAAAAAAAAATCTTGCTCAAAACACAAAAGAAAATGATCCTAAGAGATCCCATGGTAAGTGTAGTGCCTAAAAAGGAATTTCATTTTGGTAAAGTTCAGCTAACTTCTAAACCTCAAATCTATTTCCAAGCTGCCCGTGCAGAGTAAATATAAAAAACCATGTGCACCTAAAGTGCCCATCTCAGAATCTGATCTGCCTCGGCAGCTGATAAATAGCTCCTTTCTCCATAAGGAAGTGACTTCCAGACCTGCAGTGCAGACCAGTACCACGTGCTGCCCCAGGCATCTAACTTCATAACTCATTTCTGTGGAGCTGCTAGAGTCTCTGTGATTAGAAAGTATATATTTTATATTTTATTCAGCCTTCATCAATCTCTCAGGGTGGCAAGCAGTGAGTTATTTGAGTGCTGGCCCTTGAAAGACACATGGCATGGGTAGAGAGAGAGGGTGGCCACAGGCAGGCGCCTCTGGAAACAGACATCAATAACAAAAGAATAATCTTCCGGGCACCAATAGGAGAAGGCATTTGCTAATGGATTTTCTAGAAATTGAATTTCTCTGGGGTGAATCACACCAAGGGGGAAAAAGTGAGTCTGTCACTTTATTTGGGAGACATTATTATACATGCTCACCAGTGCCCTGATTTAACATTTTGATAAAGTTCAATCTACTAAGGAACATAAATTTAGCTCACATTGCATTTTATGTGAGAATTTTACGGAATACAATAACATTGGCAAATTCAGGTGATTGCATTCCAAATTTGTCTTAATATATACTGGAGTTGCTTCTTTATTAGTAATGAAAGACTTAAATAATTTTAAATTATATTCTAGTTCCAGAATCTGTTATGTGAATGATAAAATTACATGGCTGTGTCATATTTTGTACTTAATGATGGAAAACACTGTAATTCCTCTTTCCTGAGGATTCTGTCTTTAAACATCCTGCTTTCCATACAGCATTAGCCTCTATTACACACCTCACATCAAACACATTGACATGACTTTTCCTAAAGCTCCTCAGATTCAGAATATTAAACTATTACTTCTCAAAACAGATGTATGGCCATGATAAAGACAGTGTAGAAAGGCAGTGTTTTTTTTCACAATAAAAATTGACTTAGATTATTAGGATGATGGTGTTTATGAGAACCTAGCAATGCCAATTTTCAGGAAAGAAGGATTTACAAAGGCAAAGAGCTCCAGGAACTCACCCAAGGACCTACACATGTGGTCCTATGTGCAATCAGAATAAAAGGAAACTCTTTCTTCCTCTGACCTGTATTCACCTACATTCCCTTACCATCCACTTCCCCTACCCCACCCTTCAGAGCTTCAGGCTTTTGTTATTCCTTTATAAAAGAGATAGTGAATGAGGTTGGTGGTTTAGTTCCTGGAGCAGAAATGCAAACAAGTTATCTATACTTACAGTAGCCAACTAGAGGTCCAGTAGGCCTCTGATTTTGAGGTTCTAACATGGTCCCCAGAGCAATGGGAGATTTCTTGTTGGAATCTTGCAAAAGCTTCAAAAACACCTTTGAAAATAAAAACACAAAAGAAACTTTGGTTTGTTTTATTTCTTTTCACATTTCTTCACACATTACATTTCTTTTCTTTTTCTCCACCATGCAACTAGCTCAGACCAAGAACATGTAACACACCTGCCCAATATTTCATTAGTCATTCATTGAACTAGACTCTAAGATTTCTTAGGTATCCAGAGCCCAATTGATAGGCATCCCTTAGGATGCAAAGATGAAGGAAATGTGACTGTAACCTTTAGTCCCAATCCTGCTGGAGGAAGCTAGATAAATCCACAAAAAGCAGGGAGAAGACAGGTAACATTAACCTGATCTGCTCAATCTAACTCAAGTTTACAAATCACAATGCCAACATCTTACAAATTCAGACATGAATCAGACAATAAATGAGAGTATTTACCTATTCACAATTTCTGTACAGTATATGGGATCTTGTCTATACAACTCCACCTTGAATATGTACTCCTCATGGGCTACAATGTGTCTTTGCAGTGAAATAGTTATTTTAGGTTACTTATAAGAAATCACTATTTAGTTAGGGCTGGAAGGAAAAGTCCAAAGGCAGTCCAAAGACTAGGCCCAAGAGTGTGAGTCAAGACAAATAGGGATAAGGGAAGGGGAGGACTGGGAAATAGGCCTTTAATTATACCTGGAGACCTGGTAAAGAGTTATGAAGAAATGGAGAAAATCCACATACACACTGAGCACAGCCCACAAGAACGGGTGTTGACCTAGGCAAAAAGGGTAAAGGAGATTCAACCCTGTAAACCATGAGCCATATCAAGATGTTCTTAGGCTTTCAGATTTTTAACTCAATGCCTAGGTACTGTACCTGAGCTTTTTTTCCTCAATAATAGCACTCCACCACTTGAGCCACAGGTCCACCTCTGGCTTTTTATGGGTGCTTCATTGGAGATGAGCATCTCATGCCTGATCTGGCTTTGAACTGTGATCCTCAGATCTCAGCCTCCTGGGCAGCTAGGATTACAGTAGTAAGCCAACACTATACTGTCTAAAATCTGAGCCTTCACTGTGACACTTGGGCCAGCTATGAGACTGAAGGTATAAAAGTTCATCATCCCAAATGTGGGCTGCTTTATCTATGAAACAAATACGGTCACAGTAGCTCAGCAGATGCTAACTAGAAAGGCAGACACAATAATGTACTATGGGCCTTGTATCATGCAAGACAGAGTACAATGAATCTCTTTCAGCATTATCTGTGCACAGGATTCCATCCCTCCCATCTCTGTAAGCAGCCATGAAGATCCCCTTTCTGGACTTTTTCAAGGAATTCACGCTGGACCAGTCTCATTGGCTATCCATCTAGTGCCTTACTGTCTATATGTGACCATACTGTCCCTACAATTCTGAGTTCTGTCAACAGCATCAGTATTCTATCAGTATGGCTATCTCTAGGTGTTACCCAGTCCACAGGGAAATAATGGGAGCACCCCAGAGAGAGCAGTGGGGAGCAAGCAAGCCTAAAGGGAGAGGTATGCAACCTCCCTGCATGTGGCTAATTAGTTTAGACTGAATCCTATTGAGAAAACCCTGCATCTTCAACAGTGGTGAAGGTCAGGATACTGCATTACAACAAATGTTCCCTTCAACGACCTTCCCTTCCTTTGAAGGAAAATGTCACAGTTCAGTACCAAGGCACTTGGTAACACAGTAACATTTTTGAGTGTATGCCAGCCATGCAACTTTTGGACAAGTGATTTGATCTCTCTATGACTTACTTTCCTGGGATGATACACGGTGATGGTAAGACATCTTATAGGATTCTTGCAAGCAATCATGTACTTATAAAAGGGATTGGGGAGAAGCTTGGCTGGCTGGTATGGCACAAGCTCCGTGGCCAGAGGATGTACACGGCAAATTTCACCAAGTAATCCCCAAATCAATCCAGTAAAATGAGTCATGTAATCCCCACTTTACAGCGGCTCAGCATAAGAAGTACTCATCTAGTGTATTTATAGTGAGTGAAAATTAGAAACAATAGAAATAGTGTGAATCAAGCATTATTTAATGAATACTTTTCTCTCTATCTTATTCTAAATGGAATGTTTTATTTAGGATCTCATGCAACTGAATAATAGGAAAGATATTTTGATTTTGTAAGAATGTATTTCTGAGAACAAACTTTATCTCCCTTTTTACAAGTTTCCATCTCTTCCTGCTTTCCTAAAAAGGCTATGCATGTGTATGAGGGGATATATTGTATAAATGTTTGTGCAAGTATATATGCATATATACATGCTTGTGTGTGAGGAGGAAACACAATTAAGGCAGAAGATCCCCCCCACCCCATAATCTTAATCAGAGAATGACTATAATCAAAACAATTACAAAGAGCACTAAATGCCAAGGTATGTGCCTGAGAGTTTCACCCATATGAAAAGGTGAGTCAAGTCTAAGGAAATAGAACTTCAATCAGTACCATCTAGCATTGGAAGCACAGAAACCTGGGGTCTCACAACCTAGTTAATAGATGGGCAAATGAGCGACATAGAAGGTCAAGAGAAGGGATAAGGTTGGAAAAGATGGGGGGAGAATGATGAAAGAGATGACATGGATCAAAATGCATTGCATTCATAAACTTCTATGTTGAATGTACAACCACTTAAAGGTAATTTAAAATAAAAAAAGAAAATATCCCAGTAGACAATGCACAGAAAAAGCCAATAAATGTTCTTTTTTTTTTCTCAGAAACAGTAACATTGAATCCTTTAGTCAATTATTTGAACCCTTACTGGCAGATTTTTGTCACTTTGGGCTGTAATTTTTGTACTAAGTAATTGCAAACCTTCCCTTGGTAAACATCCCAGGGAACTTAATACCAGAGTAGACCATTACTGTGGACTGTAATGAAAGAAAATGTATCAGAAAGTTTCTAACACTCCATTGAGTTTAGGAAATGGAACATCTATGTGGCAGTTTTAATACATTCCTTATCATCTGATACATATTTTCCAACAAAGTTTTAAATTGTTATCTGGACTTAAAGCTCAAAGCTTTGCAAATTTTTAAATATCAAAAATAGGATAACTTGTTTGTTTTCATTTGTTCAATTTGTTCAATAAAAATGTTATTTAAAGAATTTTAACTAAAATCATGAAAGGCTTTCCAACACAAATTATCAAAAAAGGTAATTAGTTGTTGAGTATGATCAATGTATTTTGTATGCAAATATGAACATGTCATGATAAATCCAATTTTAACAATAGTAAAAAAGTGGAGGAGAGAGATAAGAGCATGAATATGATCAAAGTATATTATATACATTATATACAAATAAAATACACTTGCAAAAACGTTTTAAAAGAAGGAAGATAGAAATAAAGTTTGAGCAGCTTATTGAAGCTATCTGAATGCAGGATAAAATTCTAACATCCCTTAACTGGGCACTGGTGTCTCATGTCTTTAATCCTAGCTACTCCAAAGGCTAAAATACAATCATTTCAGTTCAAAGCTAGCCAACTAACCAGGGCAAGAAAGTCCATGAGACTATTTTTAGTTAGCTACCAAAAATCTGGAAGTAGAGCTATAGTACAAGTCATAGAGTGCTAGCCTTAAACACAAAAGCTCAGAGACAATACCCAGGTCTTAAGTCCAAGCCCCAGGACTGGCACACACACACACACACACACACACACACACACATACACACACACCTCTAACATCCAGCCACATTTTTCACAATTTAAAAAGAATGTTGGATTTGTGTACTTGATTTGAAATGATATAGCATTTTTTACATCTTCCTCCTCTTTGATATGTTTTCTCTCATTAAAAGCATCCTGATTATAGTAATTACCATCTTTATTTTCTAATCTTTAAATAGTTGTGTAAAGAGGTTGCCATTCAACCTGTTTGTTTTTGTGTATCATGCATTTTGATCAGGATCACCTCATTCTCTCCTGCCATCTATCTAAACTCCATCTCTCTCCTCAAGTTTCCTATTTACATTTTTAAAGTGTATATTGAGTACTGTGACTGTATCCATCCATCATTCATTCCTTTCTCCATGTTTTCTACTCACAATTCCTGAAGTGTCTCCTCCTTCAGACATGCTGCACCTTCCTGGTCTTCATTTTGTTAAGCTGTCTATTAACTGTGTAAAGGAGTTACACCATGGAAACCCATCCTGCATATGACATACTTTGGTCCAGTTAATGATGTATATCTGCATTTGGTCCTTTGTTTTTATATGTGATTGTATTTTAGGACTAACTTACACATCTGAGAGAAGGAAAACGTGCTGGTGATCTCTCTGAGCCCATCTCTCTGTCATTTGTAACTGAATAAGGCCACATGCCAACCTGAATGGGTCAAATAGAAACTACACCTGACTGCTTTTAAAGGACCCGAAAATTGTTTTCAATATTATCTTTCATTGTTTATTTCACTGGAATTAGCTCAGTCTTCTCAAGTCAAGGGTCCATCCAACTGGTCACACGCATCCTACTTTTATCCTTTCACAAAAATTCAATTAAAAAAATAGTGTAAGATATGCTGAAGACATAAAGGGGATCCAAAGAGGGAAAGAAGAAATAAAACTCTCCCTCTTTGCAGATGACATGATCTTGTATTTAAAGAATCCCACAGACTCCACTACCAAATTACTCAAGCTGATTCAAAACTTTGGCAAAGTAGCAGGGTATAAAATTAACCCCCCAAAAAACAATGGCTTTTCTGTATGCCAACAATGAGAAAAGTGGGGCTGAAATTAGGAAAGCAACTCCATTTGTAATAGCCCCACAAAAAATAAAATACCTAGGAATTAACCAAAGAAGTGAAGGACCTCTATGATGAAAACTTTAAAAACTTGAAAAAGGAAATCAAAACAGAACTTAGAAAATGGGAAAAACTCCCATGCTCCTGGATTGGAAGAATCAACATCGTGAAAATGGCAATACTTCCCAAGGCTATCTACAAATTCAATGCGATACC